GGCGGACGTGTGTCGGAGTTAAAACACAACGAGCACGGTGCAGGGAAGGTGGGGGCTGTGCTGTTGGCAGTGCACGTACCTTGACGAGGAGATCGAGGATGTCGACGTAGTGCTTCTCGGTCACCAACAGCTCGTTCGCAATCTGCAAACGCTTGCGCACTGAAAACGCACATTTAGTTTAATAGGAGTTAAAATCTACGAATGTATAAAGAAATTGCACAAAGAAAGGAACACGCACGCACGCACGCACGCACACAACGTACGTCGTCGGGCGAGGAAGCGCTTGGCGAAGGCCTGCGCCTTGACGACCTTGACGAGCGTGACCGGCGCGACGTTCTCCTCGCACCAGAGGAAGGCCCGCTTGACGTTCTTGGCCTGCCCCGCGAACTTGCTGTCCATCACCCGCATCCGCAGCATCTTGTCCCGCTTGTCGTGCACCGTGCGCCGCCAATTCCTCGCCGCCGTCGTCGCCGCCGCCGCTTCGCTCTCTGTCGTCGTTGACGTCGCTGTCTTGGTCGACGTCGACGGCGACGACGAGGCGAAGGCCGAGGTCGCGGTCGAGCTGACGCTGACGTGGCACGGCGGCGGCAGCGGCGTGGCCTTGGGCGCGTCGGGCGACAGGAAGCCCTCGTCCTGGTTGAGGTTGAGCGTGGGGACCGGCGGGGACGACGGCGCAGTGAACACGATCTTGACCGGCGTCCCCTGCATGACGTCATCACTCTCCCCCTCCCCCTTTCCGTCTTCGTTCTTTCCTTCGCTCTTTCCGCCATCGCGCGCTTCGTTCTCTTCGGGGAGGGCCGGCTGCGGTTGGTCGTGGTCGCCATCGGACTTGGTCGTCGTGTGGTGCTGGTGCTGGTGGTGCTGATGGATCATCTCCCGGATCGAGTCCAGGTTGTAGTGGTAGACCGAACGTCGCCGGTTGGTCACCTTCGTGTAGATGGACGCCGGAATGGCGTAGATGCCGCTGCCCTCATCGCCCAAATCCGTCGCCTCACCTTCATTATCTTCACCATCGTCGTCGTTGTCGTCGTCGTCGGCCTTATTGGCCTTGTCGATGGTGTCCTTCCGGTCCTTGTGGCCCGTGATCTTGTTGTGCTGCGACGCAGCAGCTGATTGAGG